GGCCGGGCCTCCAGCGCTCCAGGGCTGGGGGGTCCCCAGCGCCCCCCGGGCAACCTGCTCCCGCCTCACCGCTCCCACTTCTGTCCAGTCCAAAGCCACCCTCCTCCAGCTTCACACTGCCTCACCAGGTCCTGGTGAAAAGCCTCTCTCCACCGTTCCTACAAGCCCCCTCCCACACCGACAGGCTGCGAGGTCTGCTCCAGGCTGAGCACCCCCAACTCTCCCAGCCTCTCTCCACAGGGAAGGTTCTTCCAGCCCCTTGACCCTTCCCCTGGTCCCCTCTGGACCCGCTCTGACAGGTCCAGGTCTGCCTTGTGCTGGGACAATGCGGGTGTTGATTGACAGCCGGCTGGACAGGAGCCAGCAGTGTGTCCAGGTGGCCAAGAAAGCCAATGGCATCCTGGCTTGTGTCAGCAATAGCGTGGCCAGCAGGGACAGGGAAGGGATCTGACCCCTGTACTAGGCACTGGTGAGGCTGCACCTCAGTTACTGGGTTCAGTTTTGAGCCCCTCACCCCAAAAAGGCCATTGAATGACTTGAGCGTGTCCAGAGAAGGGCAACGGAGCTGGGGCAGGGTCTGGAGCACAGGTCTGCTGGGGAGCAGCTGGGGGAACTGGGGGGGTTTAGTCTGGAGAAGAGGAGGCTGAGGGGAGACCTCTTGGCCCTCTGCAACTCCCTGACAGGAGGGGGCAGAGACGGGGGATGAGTCTCTTGAACCAAGGAACAAGCGCCAGGACAAGAGGGAATGGCCTCAAGCTGCCCAGGGCAGGGTCAGGCTGGCTCTGAGGAAGGATTTCTGTGCAGAAGGGGCTGTTGGGCGTTGGAATGGGCTGCCCAGGGCAGGGGGGAGTCCCCATCCCTGGAGGGGTTGAAGAGTCGGGGTGACCCAGCGCTGAGGGATCTGGTGGAGTTGGGAACGGTCAGTGTGGGGTTCATGGTTGGGCTGGAGGAGCTTCAAGGGCTTTTTCAACCTCAATGATTCTGTGATTCTTTGTCCCCCGAGCTGGACGTGTGCTTGGGGACAGATGGGTGTCTCACACTGTGCTGTCACAGGTGGGGATCAAGGGACCCTGCGTGTCCCAGGCCCCTCTGCCACCCACAGGGCACCTCAGGGCTCCATGGCCAGAAGGACCCTGGATGCTCCCTTTGTGCTTTTTGATGCCTTTGTTCTCTCTCCCTGCTGGGTCACCCCAAGGTTTCTCCTTTCCTGGGTAGGGCCCCCCACCAAGCCCCTAGCAGGTCCCTGGGCCATCTGTGCTCCCTGGAAAGTGTCCCCGTGGGGTGGCTCTGGGCACCCTCCACCCTGCACTCTGGGTGGGCGATGGCAAGGGCAGGGCTGGGCCAGGCTGGGCCATGCCCACAGGCAGAAACCCTCCCTGGATAGGCAAAAGGGGGACTCAGGAAGGCCTGCGACCTTGGAGGGCTGCTCAGGGGCTGGGGGTCCCCAGCCTCTCTCCATCCCACTGCCCAGCCCCCCATGGCTGTGTGGGGAGCTCTCCCACTCAGCCAAGGACCCACAGGAGATGTGGCTGTGGTAAGGAATTACCTCAACTTTAAAAAATAGCTGAGGAGCCTCGCCTCAACTCCTGGCCCAGCCCTGGGGCTGCGCAGGGATACCCCCACCCTTCTCCATGGAACTCTGGTGCCAAAAAGGCTGCATCCACTCCCAGTGTCCCCGAGCTTCTGGACCCCCAGGCTGGTGCCCGCAAGAGCAGGCACAAGCCCTGAAGAGGCTGGAGGAGCTTGTGGAGGCTGTCAGGAGGAGAACCATGGCTCAAGGAACCCCATGGCAAGGCAAGGGTCCTCATGGCAAGGTGGGTGTCCCCACTGCAAGGCAGGGGTCCCCATGGCAGGGCAAGGATCCACATGGCAAGATGGAGGCCCTCATGGCAAGGTGGGGGCCACACTAGTGGGACAAGGTCCCCATGGGCTCCCAGCAGCAGAATGAGGGTACTCACAGCTGAATGAGGGTCCCCACAGAGGGATGTGGGTCCCCACAGCAAGCTAATGGTCCCCACAGCACCATGATCATCACCACAGAAGGCTGAGAGTCCCCATGGCTGGGCCCTGCCCTCGCCCACCCTCACCTGCATGTGAACTGGAGGAGGGGGAACCCTGGGGGGTGTCTGAGCCTCGAGGTGGGACCAGAGGGTCTGAGTCCTATGAAAAGCACAGGGGGAGGAGCTCTGGAGGTGTCTGAGTCTCCGGAGGTGGGGGAAAGAGGTCCGAGCTCTATGGAGGCTACAGGAGGTGTGAGCCCTGGGGGATGTCTGAGCCTCAGGGTTTGCTCAGGCAGTTTGAGCCCTATGGAGGGTACTGGGGGGGCCCAGAGGGGCTGAGCCCTGGGTTCAGCACAAAGACAGCTGAGCCCTGAGGGTCCCTGGGGGCTGTGCTGGGGTGGTGACCCTAGGCCAACCAGGCCACCCCATTCCCCTTGGCAGCCCCTCCCTGCTGCCACCACAGAAAGGCCCCGTGCGTGCATCCTGTGGGGCGGCGAATGGAGCTGCCTATTGATTCACAGCCTGGGCTAAAAATAACTTTCAACTCTTCATCCCGAGCTGTGAAAAATCCCCCATTGCTAGGCGACGGGTTACCGGGAGACAGCCGGCGCTAGGCGACGGCGGTTGCTGCGGTGACAGCACCCAGCACACTGCGGTCCAGCTTTGGCACGGGTGGTCTGGCTGGATGGGTGATGCTTGGCCCAGGGTCCCATTGCTGTGGGGACACGCTGGGTGCATGGGGTGAGACCCTTCAGCATCCCCAGGGTGGTGGGGATGGGAGAGCAGCAGAGACCAATGGGATTCTGGCAGTTTGCATAAAGATGAGTTGTGGAGGAATGGTGTTGCTTGGCTCCCAGCTGCTGTCTTGATTTGAACGTGGGGACACCGGCCACCATCGTCCTGGCACCCAGCAGGGATGGTCCCTGTGGACCAGGGGGGCTCAGGGGGCCTGGCCTGCCACAGAATGTGCTGATGATCTGGGGTTTCCCCTGGCTGTAGGGTGCATCAGGATAGCTGGGCACCCCACATCGGGCACCCGAGGGTGTGGGTACCCTCCTAGGCTGCCGGAACAGGGGGTCCAGCCCAGCTATGTCCCCTCCACTGGGGACATGTGCACAGAGATTCCCCCCACCCAGGGACCCCTCCAGCAGTTGTGACCATTCTTGCATGAAATTGTCCCCGGGACATGGGGCCACCCCAGCTTGTCCCCGTTGGGACCCGGAGCTGGCAGGGGTTAGTAACAATGGGGCTGTGCCAGGACCATCCGGGGCCCAACTGCTGCATTGGAACTGGGCACACTCCTTGTCACCACCCCAGGGATGTCCAGGGGTGCGATGACAGCAAGCAGTGCATGTCCCCTAAAGCTGGACCACCCCACGCTGCTTCTGGGCTGCTGCTGGGTGGCAACTCCCCTGGGATACACCCATGGAGATGGGGCATCACTGGGGGACAGGGCATTGCTGGGGGGACAAGGGATCACAGGGGGAAGGACCCCCAGTTCCTCAGGCAATGGGGAAAAGACATGTCACCTGGATGAGGCCACTGACCTGCACATCCCTGTGGGTCACCAGCCTCTCCTGTCCCTTTTCCTGCGGTTTCCTGCCCCTTGCTGGGCAGGGTGGGATGAGAGGATGAGAGGATGAGAGTGTGAGAGTGTGAGAGTGTGAGAGTGTGAGAGTGAGTGTGTGAGTGTGAGAGTGAGTGTGTGAGTGTGTGTGTGTGTGTGTGACAGTCTCCTCCCCCAACCCCCCTCCCGGCTGCCAGTGCGAAACCCGACCTGGCTTATAAATAATGGAGGCAGGAGCCCGGCGGCTCCATCAGCCTCCCCAGGGCCCGGCCGAGCTGCTCTCGTTGCTCGCCCGGGGCTGTGCGAGGGGCGGGCGGAGGGATGGGGTTACGTGTGGCCCCTAACCAGTTCCCTCCAGTTTGGGGAATAGTGGTGAAGCTGGGCCCTGGACTGGGGGGTGCTGGGTGGGTGCTGATGGCGTGGGAGGGAGCAGAATGGGGTGCGCGGGCGAGCGGGGCTCCTTTGGCAGCATCCCACCCTCGCCCAACCTCTGCCCACCCATCATGGGGACTGGCCACATTTGTCGGGTGCTCCAGGGCTGGTGGTGCAGAGGAGGGGGCCAGGGCTGAAGGGGAGAGTGTTTGGGGAGGGGACAGGTCAGCAGAAGCTATTTCTGCAGAGTTTCTCCCTGCTGGAACTGTGACCCATGCCCAGCTCCTGGCTGGGGGAAGTGGGCAGCCAGGGGGCTGCCCTGGGAGCAGAATCAAGCCAGTGCCTTTGCTTCCAGCATGCATCAAATGGCTTTTTGGAGCCTGTGGTGATATTTAGCACTCCCAACTCCCTGCAGCAAGGAGTCCTATGGCTGAACTCTGCCTGTCTGCCCCGGCATCCCATAAGCCTGGTACTGACGGCCCCCGTGCTGGGCAGGCATTCACCCACCTTGGCCCAACCCCGTCTCCCAGCTAGACCCCCAAGCCCTGGGGGGAAGGGGCATGGCTTCTTCTGTGGCTGTTGCCATGTCTGGAGGGATGAGGGGATTTGAAGAAGTGGCGCAAGACCCAGCAGTATCCGAGGAACACATCAGTGTCCTCAGGACAGGGGGCTCAGGGACAGCTGTGGGCTGTAGTCTTCTGGCTCTTCTCTCTGCCTAGGGTCTTGCATTTTTGTTCACTTTTCCTGGGCCCAAGAGGGGCAAAGAGAAGGGCTGT